AAAAAAAACTGGCTTTCTTAGAAGATAAAAAGATCACAAACCATAAGCTAGACTTATCAAGAGACACAGAGAAAGCAATCATATGAATAAATCGATAGTGAAGCTAGTGATACTACAACAGATAAATCAGAAATACATATAATCATGAGGAATACTCTGTGTCACTATACATCAATAAACTAGGAACCCTAGATGAGATGAAAAAATTTATGAACACACACAACCTACCTAGCTTTAGCAAGGGATAAATAGAAAGCCTGAATAGAACCATAACAAGCAACATCACTGAATCAGCAATGAGTAGTCTCCAAACAAAGAAAACTGCAGTTCTCAATAGCTTCATTTCTGAATTCTACAGACTTTTAAAGAACTAAGCCCAATTCTCCTCAAACTATTTCTAAAGATCTAAATAGAAGGAATTACCTCAAAATCGTTTTAAACCTTCATTGTGGGAGGCTGTGCACCAGCGAGTCTGCTGAGGCCATTTTTCATGAGTCTCTTACTATTGCCATCTTAGGCTCAGAGAGCAAACAATTACAAAGGCCACAATTGGCTCCCCTTCTAAACCCTCACCTTCAAAACCATACTCTGATTAGCCACTTCCCATAGCAAATCAGTGAGCTTAGAATCCCTCAGATTTGCATATCCGGGCACCTCATGATTAGTCCACAAAGCAACCAATCATAACCCACCTTTTACTATCCTTCATTCAACCAATCACAGTCCACCAACGTGTATATAACCATGATCCCTGGCCCATAATTGCCAGACGACCCTAAAGACCCTGAAGAGTTGTGACACCGAACGGTCTCCAGATGACCCTGAGCTGTGACGCCGCGTTGTCTCCGGATGACCCTGAGCTGTGACGACATTGCGTCGGCTCCGGATGACCCTGAACACTGTGTCGTCTCCGTGCTGCCTACAATAAAGAGATGACCCTGAAGAGACACTGCATCATCTCCGTGCTGTGACAGTGCACTGTTTGTCCCGTCCCTCACTCCTTCCCTCAGGAAACCTGTTCTACTGTCCCGTGGGCCGGGACACTTCATCATCTTGATACCAAAAGTAAAGGAGGATATAACCAAAAAAAGAAAATTACAGATCAATATCTATAATTTTGACAGATGCAAAAATCCTCAGCAAGATACTAGTAAATGGGATCCAACAGACCATTAAAAAGATTATGCACAGGGGCCAGCAGGTGGCGTGGTGGTTGAGGCACTAGATTTCCACATGGCCAGTCACAGAATCTCAAACCTGGCAGCTTGTTTTCTCATTTTCTCTGAGCACACGTGCCCTATAGCAAATTTAATAATAAGTAATAAAATAAAATAAATAATGATTTTTTAAAAAAGAAAAAGACTATGCATCATGTCCAGGCAGGTTTTATCCCAGACATGCAAGAATGCTTTAATGTATGTCAAACAATAAATGTAATACATTGCATTAACAGAAGGAAAGATAAAAAACATATGATTATATTAATTGATGCAGAAAAAGCATTTGGGGACCAGCAGTTAGTGTAATGGCTATGTCACTAGACTCTCATGTAGCCAACAGTGGTTTGCATCCTAGACCCGGTGGCTTAAACTCACACCAGGCGCATGTGCGTGCATGCCCAAGATCCCGAGAGGAGAATGGAGGAGAAGGGATTGTGGCGTGGCCATCCCCCCCTGGGGAGTGATTTCTTGCTTTCTGTCTCTCTCTCTCTCTGGCTGGTGGGTGCAGGTGCCCTATGGCAAAAACCTCTCCAAAAAAAAAAAAAGCATTTGATAAAATACAACAACCCTTCATGTTTAAGACTCTCAGCCGGGCGCATGTGTGTGCGTGCCTAAGATCCTGAGAGGAGAATGCAGGAGAAGGGATTGTGGCATGACCATCCCCCCTCGGGGGTGATTTCTCACTTTCTGTGATCCTCCTGCTCAGCCTCCCAAGTAGGTAGGTTTACAGGCTTAGGCCACCATACCTAGCTACTAATAGGGAAATATTTGTGTGTGTATGTGTGTGTGCGTTTGTTTGTTTTTCTCCTCTCTCTCTCTCTCTCTCTCTCTCTCTTTTTTTATATATAGAGAGATTTTTGCTATAGGGTGTGTATGTGCTCACTGGAAAAACAAAGAGACAGAAAGCAAGAAATCACCCCCTGGAGGGGATGACCGTGCGACATTCTCCTCCATTTTCCTCTCAGGATTTTGGGCACACACACACACACTCATGCACCTGGCATGAGTTTCAAGACACCAGGTCTGGTTCTCAAACCATGGTCGGCCATGTGGAAGTCCAGCAACGTAACCATTACGCCATCTGCTGGTCCTCTAATAGAGAAATATTGACCAAACAGAATTCCTGTTGGATTCTGCAACTGAACATACTCCAACAGTCACAAACAGGGCAGGACAAGCACACCCCTCCTCCAGGAGCAGGCCAGCTCAAGAACAGCAGAAGAGAAGGGGGTACAGACCTTGCAGGGGCTGAGATAAAAATGCAGAATTTCTCTCCCTAAAGCCACCCATTGGATGAGTCCTTCCTTCTCCCGTGGGGAGCCAGGAGCAAGAGGACAGTCAAAAACCTGCACTATTCCTGCAAATTTTTCCTCTTTGGGGATTGGAATGGACATACCATCTCGTGAAACCAGAAAGCATGGATTATACAAACTCCCCTCCACCAAGTACTTCATCTCTGATATCTCATTCTGCAATCAAACCCAGTGAAGGAGATGTGACTATCTCATTTTACAGACAACAAAATGAAGACTCAAAGGAGGAAATGAGGTACCACCATGGCAGTTGACAGGCGATAGAGCAGGCTTGGGATTCATTTGAATCAGAGCCCACATGTTCAATGACTTATTAGGCTCCCTTTCTAAGACTATGGGACAGGTCATGCCAGGGGTGAAGGGAGAGAGAGCTAAGAGTGAGAGCACTAAGTTGGAAGTGTTCATTGGCAAGGTAGGAGCATAAAATGATGGCAGAGCCACTGGACTCGATAAGATCCCTCAGGGAGAGTACAGAGTACAGAGAAGAAGATGAGGCTAGAGACTGAACTCCACATAGAACATCAATGCTTATGGGGTCCACTAAAAAGACTGAAAAGGTGCAGCCAAAAAAGTAAGAAAAGAAAGTCCCAAAAGGGGCCATCAGGTGGTGTGGTAGGTAAAGCATTAGACTTCCACATAGCTGACTATGGTTCAAGTCCCAGGCCCAGCGGCTTGAAAATCATGCCCAAGATAGTGGATAGTGGAGGAGAAGGAACTTGCCATGGTCATCCACCCTAGTGGGTGATTTCTCACTTTCTGTCTCTCTGTCTCTCCAGTGAGTGCATGCATCCTATGGTAAAACAAAGCAAAATAAAACACCCAAAGAAGAAAGAGATCTACTGTGTGGGAGGCTGCAGGGAACCCCAGTAAGATACAGAGTAGAAAGAGGTCATCTGGAAACAGACTGAGGTGGGGTGGGGATACATTGGGGCTTGGAGAGGGTTAAAGAGATAAAGTAAACATTCTTCGGAAAACTGGTTTTGCATAGGAAGGGAGAGGAGGAGGGAATGGAGGAGAATGGGGTGGACAGTGGATCCTCTAGAGACCAATAGATGTAATATTTGGCAAAATTTCATCTTCAAAAACAAGTGCTGGCTCGGCCTCAGTGGTGGGCAATAACATGCTGATCAGTGCTGAAGGCCATATAGTACACCTGAGATTTGGGTCCCAAAGTGGACCTTGGACCTGAAACATGCCAGGCAGTCTTGCCTGAGATTCTGACTAGCTGAAGGGTCAGAGAAAGGGGGTCGTGGTGTGACAAGACCCTGTCGATTGGTGCAGTGGTGAAACTCCGTGCTCTGCAAGACAATCCCACAAAGGAGGTTCTTGGTTGAAGTCTGGAGACCTCCCTGAGTACGCCATGGCAGGTGCTTGCCCATGACCCGGGTTAGGCGAAGCTGAGGGTCAAGCGTGGCCTCAGGACCTGTTGGAAATGCCATCTTCCTCTCTCTCTTTCTCTTGCTCTTTTTGTCTGTCATTCTCACCCATGGAAGAAATCAACTTCAAAAAAAAAAAAGTTCACTTCTCACTTCTCATCACTTCTCATTCTATAAAAAAATAAAGACTTGGTCAAAGGTTTCTTCCATCCATACAAACATCTGCATGCATGCTCTCTCTCTCTTGTGAAAGAAATAAAATAAATTTAAAAAATCAAGAGCTATTTCACGTTGCTGTCATCCAGAACAAATTCGAAACAAGATCGTTAGGTACAAAAGCTACAGTAGAAAATGTCTTCCAGTGGCATTGGATTGTGAGTGCAATAAGCAGCGGTGAACACGTGTAATTATGTAATTAAAAATCATTTTGATATCTATAAAACTTTACTCTTGGAAACAACCCAGATTTCACCAGTTCTAAAACTGGGTACATTCAGACAACTCTCTTTCCACCCCGCCACGTCTCTGGGTGCTGCCTCCCCTTTATTTCAGCTTAAATGTAAGTAACGTGATCTTACTTTGGGTGATTTGTGGGAGTTTATTCATGCTAGCCTTCTATGAGAGAGGGCGTGACGGTGAGAGAGTGGCAGGCACCCTGGACAGGTGCGGTCATGATCCATCTTTCCCCTTAGCCCTCCAGCGCGCCAAGTGAGTTTCAGGGCCCCTGATACAAAGCCCTGGCCAGTTCCAGCTCCCCCAGGGATCTGAACAGGTGGTCCGGCCCAGGTGGCTACCAGAACTACAGATGAGTGCTGTGGCCTGCGCCACCCAGGCTGGTCTTCATTCTGCTTTTGGAAGAGTGGCTACACTGTCCTTGCACAAAGTGGAAGGTGGTTACTGTCCTTCCAGAGAGAGAGAGAAAGGGCTTTGGCATCTTCCCTCCACCTTTCACTCTGCTCTCTTCTATTAGGATAGTAATAACAATCCCTGCTTTGTGTCTAGTTAACAAAATACAGCGTCTTCTCCACGCCGCGCACTGTTTTAAGCCTCTTCAAATATTAAGTCATGTAACCCTCCACTCCACTGCCCGGATGAGGTAGGTATCACCTTCGTTTCCTAATAAAGGAAATGGGCCACAGAAAGGTGAAGTGGCTTGTCAGCGTCACACAGCTGTGGACTGGAGGAGTGCACTGAGCTGAGATTTGGACGCCCACCCTGTGGCTGCAGAACCTGTGCCATCCTGCGGGAAACGCGTCCATTCCGGACCTGGCACGCGATGAGAACTTCACCCCGCGGTTGCGGAGCGTGAGGCGTTTGGGGCTCCTTGGCTTCTGAACCTGGTACGCTGCCGTAAGGGCATCCTCCGGGTTGGCGCTGGTGACCCCACCCCGGAATCCTGCGGTGGTCAGAAGGGGGCTCAGATTCCGCGCAGCCGCCGCCGGGAGGCGCTGCAGCGCTCTC